ATCTTTGAAGTTGCTATTGCCAATGTACAGAGAGAGCCCTAGTGCCAGAGTGGTTATGCGCTGGGCTGTAGACTGCAAGGTCAGCCGTTCGAAACAACCAGCCGCTTCTCAGAAAGATGGGGCTTGCTACTCCCGTAACGAGTGCTAGGCTTAGAAACCCACCCATAGGATCACTATGAGTCAGCATCGGCTTCATGGCAGTGAGGTTGAGGATTGTCAGTTTAATCCCACAGAGATAGTTCTTAGGAGAACATGATACTCGAGGCAGATATTTTTCACTAGTTAAGCTAACCCGTTTTTGCTTTTAAGAAAACTTAAAGGGATTATTTGGGGTTTAAGGTTTAAATTATCTCAGGGCAACAGTTTCAGTTCATTCAACGTTCATTGCTCCAGGTCTGGAGCCCTTGAGAATTGCAAATTCTGTTCTGCGTTGGCCCCCTTTTGATCAGGATTCTAATACAGAATCTTTGCTAACTATATTCAGTAACGGTAATTGTGCTGGGCACAGTGCAATGCTGAGCTCCTGTCAAAGGGGAGGGGGATGGTTGTTATGGAGGCAATTACCGACACATGTCTCATCCTCCTCATGTTCTTGAAGCTCGTTTTCTTCAGTTGCTTCAGGTGAACACAGACCAATTGCTTTGCCTTGCATGGGTCCTTACATGCCTCTGACATGCCAGGCATTACCCAGCAATCCTGCAGGCAGCTCAGAGGCACCAAACATGTTCTGAGGCCAGTTAACTGCCATGTCCCTTGAAACCATGCCCCTAAAAATTGTAAACCAAGAAATCAAGTCCTACGAGGGTTCTGGCTGCACGTCTATTATGCATTTTTTTACCAATTCATTTTTCACAAATGTATCATTTTTTGGCAATATTTAGTCATCAGCTGTGTGACCCTTCCCTTAATCAATATATTTCCATCACCATTAGTTCCCCTTTTCCCCCTCCCTCCTTCCCCACTGCTAACCACTAACAAACTTTGTTCTCCATGCATTTGCCTTTTCTTGTCTTTTTATATAAGTGAGGTCATACAATAATGGTCTTTTTGAGATCCATTTCCCTCAGTTTTAGTGATCCAAAGCGATGAAAAGATTCTTCCCTTTGACCATGTACTAGTGGCTACCCTGGTTTTGGCTTTGTCACGGGGATCCAGCTTTGGATAAGTGCTGTAGAATCTTACGTAGTTCCTTTCAGTGGATGGAGCGGCGCACGAGCCTGGGAGCAAAATGAACTGCAACGTTGAGATCATGGTTTTAGAGGCCTGGGAACAGCCTTGGCAGTATGCTCTCTCGGGTCTTTCACCTCTTGAATATGCAAAGCTCCTTTTCCCTTTAGGGCTATATCTGTGGTGCATTTGCATCCCTATCTGAAAATCAGCAAAAACCAAAAGTCCAAACTCGACAGCCATCAGGTCATTGCTGACTCATAGCAACCCTGTAGGACAGGGTAGAACCGACCCCGTGGGTTTCTGAGACTGTAACTATTTAGCCAAGAATTATTTTCCTTCCAATATCAGAATCTCCTCTCTAAAACAACATCTTTAGCTGTATAATGGAAATAAAAATAGGACCTATCTAATAGGCTACTTTGATAATTCAGTGCACATTCACCGACACATACCTTCTGTTGTACGACTTCATTACCCCTATAAACATCGTCACCAATGCCTAATGGTCAAGAGAGCGAACCTGTAACTAAGAGCTAGAACAAATCTTTAGTTGTTCCATTGGAAGACAGATGGCAAGACTTTAGCTCACATACTTTGGGCATGCTGCGTCTGGAGAAAAACATCCTGTTTGGTAAAAGAGAGAGTCGGTGATAAAGAAGGCCCTCCGGTGATAAAGAAGGCCCTCCGGGACACGGGTTGACACAGTGGCTGCAACAATGGGCTAATCCACGAGGATGCTGCAGGACCAGGCATGCTTGCTCTTTTGTTCGGCTGCACACAGGGCCAGTGTGAGGCAGAAGGGACTTGATGCCCCTAACAGCATCCATTCCAGGTAACCTATCAAATTTCCTGTGAGAGACTAAGAACCTACTGTGTGCTCTTGGCATTGTGTGATCCAGGCTCGATGAGAAGGTAGTGGACCCAAAGGGGAATGGATGGGTACACAGTATTTTTTGTTGTTTCTTTTACAAACGTGTGGCTTATGTTTTGCTAACTGTACACGTATGTAAAATAAAATAATTCCTTTCTGCTGCCACGAACACAATCAATATGTCCCATCAAAGGGACGAGGCCGTAGCTTAAGTCCAGTTAATTTCTGTAACTTGACATAGAAATGTGACCATGAGAATCTAAGCTCAACTTCTAAGCCCACCTCCTTTCCTGACAGGGCTTCTGCTACAGCTCAGCGTGCAGGGCCTGGCCCAGTGTGAAAAACTGAAAGAGCCCCATTTCATTGAGAGTTGGGAGAAGGATGGGAGAGGGCGAGAGGGGAAATGATTGATTAATCTGTATAAAAATGGGCTCCGTGCTGAGATTTTTCCTCTTGCGCTAATCCTGTGTGACATCTGAGCCAAGAAAAATAGAAACCCAAAGCCATATGTGCAGAGCCTGCTGGTGCTGATTTTACAACGCATGAGGCATTGACCCAAATTATATCTTGCAGCTTTTATTTTTATTTTAATGTCATTTTCATTTTCCATTTCTTTTTGCTGCCATGTTCTCTTCCTTCCATCTGGTTGCCCTGGAAAGAACGAAGCATGTGTTACAAGGGCTACCTCAACCCACTTGAAATTTTTAAAAGAATGTTTGGGGTGGGGGTGGGGTGCATTTATATAATGTGGTTTAAAATAAGCCCTCTAGAGGTTGAACTCAATGTATGTCAATGCACATGAAGAATATTTCGCTAAACTCCATTCCAGATGCAGCACCACCCAGATAGCTACCCTAGCTGGAATGTGCCATCTACTGTGTTAATCCTGAGCAACATGCCCACCCGCATGGTGACCTTGTATTTGTATTCTATTCGTCTGTGACCAAAATAATGCCCTACTTTCTCTTCCATTGTTATTCTTCACGCATGCCCGAGCTCAGGGGCGCACAGTTTGACAAGTGCTTGCTAGGCGCTGGGTGTTGCAGTCCTGGGATGGGGGCCACATCCTTTTGTTGACATCTGGGGAACAGTTTCAGGCCTCAGATAACATTTCTGTTTGCTGAGTCTCTTTGCATGGGGGGCGGGCGAGCAGTTTCAGGGCCAAGATGCTCCCTTGCCTGGTGTGGCAGCAGCTTGATTCAGGGAAAGTGGATCATCCTGGGCCTTTGGCTTCTTGTATTTGGCTCTGTGGCTGAGATAGGCAGGCCCTACACTACAGTCTTCTGGCAGGCAGATCTGATTTCTGCCGGCACTCCTGGCGGACCTGGCTGTGCTTGAGAGGTGGAGGCTGTGCCGGAACCTGATACAGGTTATACTGCCTGACATCAGTGCTTTCCCCCCTCGTAGTTAGTGGGAGAAGTGAAGGCTCCAGGTCACAGGCTGAGAGGCCCCAGTGCGCTCAGAACAATGGTGTCGGATCTGCAGATAAGTCTGTCCTATCATCGACTGCCAGACAGCAGGCCGGGGCCAGTACACAGGGCTTGCCTGTGCAGACCTGGTTTTTTCTGAATTAGGCAGAGGATTCCCTATTTTGGCCTTTCTGCCCTTTTCAGTCTCAGCCACCGTGGAACTGAACTCAGTGCCACTGTGCATTTGTCTGTCCACTATTTCTGGTTGCCTACTGTGTGCCAGACCCTGGGATAGACCAGTGAACAAGGGGACCCTGCACCAGTGTGATGTGTTTCCAGTGAAAAGTAGAGAGTCATGGGTGTGCAGAAGAGGATCACGTCGCCCACACTGTGGGACTGGGAAGGATCTGAAGGGGGGGGGCGCTCTCTTGGCATTTATAAGGAGTAAAACTGGGTGTTTGTGTGTGTGCAGAGACATTTGGGGATCTGAACCGTGCACGTCACTGTTGTTGACTTCAACACTCTCTATCCCTTAGGATTCGTGTTAAATGTCATTGTTACTTGCCATGCCATGCTTAATTTCTTTTTTAATTGTAGCTCTTGCCTCTACTGAAATGTGAACCTCTCTAGACCAGGACCATGTTTGTTTTTGGTTTTTTTCCATTTCCTTTGGTTTCTTCTTAATCGTTTTATTGTTTCTAATTTTTTTCTGTTTCCTTTATTTCGTTGAAAGTATTATGCATAGAATGTGATACATAGAAATAGCTTGAAGGGGCTTCAGAAAACTCATGGGAAAGAGTCTATCATCTTCTCATTCTATTTTCCCACAAATTTTGTGAAGCCCCCTCATATATGCAACCTATACACCAGCATAAAGTTAACAACAAGGTAAGTTTTAGCATTACTGATGCTGCCTGCTGGCTTCTGCCAAGATTCCAGAGGAAACGACTGTATTGGACTTTGGTTTTCCATTTCCTGACACTTCAAAAATAATTTAATCACCTCGTATATGACCCTAGACAAACCCCAGAATCTTGATTTCTTTGCCTTTGCACTTTGCATAATGACCACCACACCTCAAACTTAGTAGGTCTTCAGAAGGTGCCTTGTTAATGAAGGAGTTTGCCCCAGAGCCTAGAAGAAACCTCTGTGGCTCTCTGTGCCACGGGGGGAGTGAGTGGCTTGTTCCTTTTGAACTGTATTCGTTTTGTCACTGGGTTACCTGGATGGCTCCCGGGAGACACAGATGGTTTGCACTTGGCTACTTGTTTACGTGCAAAGGCACTTGGGGATCTCAACCTCACAGGCCATTGTTGTTGACTTAAACACCGTTGCCTCCCTTAGCACTGGCACTTGGCTGCTACTGGCAAGGTTGGTGACTGTAATCCACTCAGCCCATGCTGTGAAAGAAAGGCCTGACGGTCTGCTCCGGAAGGATCCCAACCATCGACAAAGCTGTGGAGTGCAATTCTGCCCCGACGCATGTGACATTGCCAAGAGTCGGAACCAATTCAAGGGCAGCCTGTTTGTTGGTTTGGTTGCTTTGAGCCGAGTGTGGGATCCTTGGAGACTACAGAAGTTAGTCACGTAATACTGGTTTGGGGGTCGTTTCAAACTGTCGTTCGTAGAGCTGCCCATTTGCTGCCACCCACTCAGGTGGCCCGAAAGTGGTGGTCTTGATTTTTTTCTCCTTTTGGTAACGTTCTGCGTTAAGCTTTCCACTCTACTTTTCACAGAACATTGTGGGCGGGCGAGGAGGTGGATAGAAGCAGAGGACACGGAGTGCACTCAAATTTAAAAGTTAACGAGTTCCGGAGGCAGGGCAGCCGAGGGGCAAAGGATTGGCTCCGGAACACGTTCTTGGTGCCAAACACCATTGAGCACTGAGATCCTAGAGAAGGTCCCACAAATTCCACGGAAATGGAGCATCATCAATCACGAGTGTGCGTCATTCTTTTTTAAGCACGCAAGAAAAAGTAGAGTACCTTTTGGTGGTGGGGACGTGGTGGTTAAAAACTTTTTTGTTCCGAGGCTTGTGAGTTCAAATTATTTTCAAACGAGAGACAGAGATGTAAGCTGAAATGGTGGAGCTCACTGGGGGAGGCCCAGGGCCTTTGCAGAAAGCACGCACCCTTGGGTCCTGAAGGCTGCAGTGTCTACAACAGGGCCAGCCTTCCCGATGTACACTCCCTCTCCCTCCCTCGCCAGCCAGGCGCCCAGCTCCAAAGATCTGGACCAGGTGTCCCACGGTGGAAGCCCCAGGAGCTGTCTTCCCGAGCCTGCCAGAACCTAGACTTCTGAGTGGCCAGGTCTTCCGGAAGCGCTTCCAGGTGACTCTTTACCCCTGCTCTCCTCACTTTTGTTCCTGGGAACACATGCCAGAATGAAAGCAGTCCCTACCCTATGGAGCCTCCCATTGCCTTTTGTTCTCACACTCTGTGGAGATGCCAGAAATGGCCAGAATCCAACCAGCTTGTTTTATTGTATTGCCTTTGATGCTTACAAAAGATATTTTCATCGAAGATTGCACAGTGGTAAATCTAGCATAGACCTAGTATATAGCCTCTCAATCCATTCTGATCACGGTATTCAAAATGGCCTATAGTCCTCAGGCGGTATAGTGTGAGTACGAAAAGGCATGCTTCCCGTTGGCTGATGGAGCCCATTCCCTTTGGACTGCTCCCGCTTGGGTCATGCAGCAACTCTGCATATCTGCATACTCTATTTCATCCATACACTGGAGCAAAGAGTGTAAGATAGAAGTGCTTCTTTACTTATTTTATACGTTGTCCAGTCCTAAATCCCTATTGTTTGCCAGGTTTTAGACCATTCTGAACCTCTACTGTAACATTGTGGAAATGGATGCCAGGTCAGGGCTCCTCTCTACGTCCTATCTGCCCCTTCCAGGAATTGTCATGGTCAACTTGCATCTTTTTCAGATACTGCTGCCACATTATATCTGACATGAAAAAAATCATCATTTATAAATTATCAAGGGTAATTGATAATTGAGGGGGCGGGGGAACGAGCCGATACCAAGCCAAGGCTCAAGTAGAATGAAAATGTTTTGAGAATGATGATGGCAACAAATGTACAAATGTGCTTGACAATGGATGGATGTATGGATTGTGATAAGAGTTGTACGAGCCCCCAGTAAGATGATTTAAAAAAAATAAAATATACCAGAAAAGAAGGGATGGACTATGGTGATTGACAGCCTTACCAGGACCTGAGGGCACAAACAGAGAAGTTCTAAAGAAAAGAGGGAGTAAGTTATCAAAATAAAAGGAGAAAGTGTCAAAAAAAAAAAAAAAGAGCTTCACCGGTTCCCATCAAGTGACCCCCACCTCATGACAAAGGTAGACCAGTGGCTGGGTGTATAAAAGGTCATTGCCAGGCTACTTCCTTGAGAGAGGTCTCTGGGTAAACTTGATTCTCCAACCTTGAGGTTAACCATCTGCCACACCCAGTGATTCCATCGCGGAACATTACTGTGTTTGTATTGTTACCACATTCATCATCCGTCCTGCCTCCTGTCTTCAGAAAGCAAATTCCCTTAGCTTAATTGTCACATTCTGCAACCCTCTGGCTTCAGTTTAATTGCATTTTCCCATCTAATACCCCAGCCGACGAAATGACTCAATGTATTCCAAGCACACCTTTTGATTTCCCTCCTTTCTATTTTAGTGTATGCTGCCCCTTCCACTCTGGGTATACCCTGGAGCCCACCCTCAACATGTTCAGATTCTCCCCGTTTCCAAGGCCCATTTCAAATGGCATTGCGCCCATGGCACTTTCTGCTGCCTTTTTGAACCACCCAGCAGAGTATTGCTTTCTCTAGTTTCCTTGGTGCCTGGTCTCTGATTGCACTGATCGTGTTCAGCCTTGTAGCCTAGCTGTCTGTGTGTCTCATCAACTGGGGGGGGGGTGAGGATGGGTGGGGGAAGCTTTGAGCACAGGGACTCCTCTGCTTGTGTTTCCCTCAGCCCAGTGTCTGGACCAGCCCGTATTTGAAATGAGTGAAGTGGAACATGTATCCACCTCAGTATCGGGCTCTGAGATCTTTGCCAGTTCTGACCACATGGCACCAAAGTGGTTACCAAAGAAAGCAGGCGAGTCTCACCACCCCTGAGAACTCCATTTCTTCCTCTGTTACCCATTTGGCTTTGGTATAGGAGGAGACAGAAGATGTCGTGTTCTTGGCAGTGTAGACTCTTAATATGCAGCGACTAGTGACATTGTCTGGCTCTGTCGTTCAGTGTCTTAGTTATCCCTTCAATGCTTGTGTAATCTAGTCTGCCATTAATACCATACCTTTCATGTGTTCGTTCTGGTCATTAATAAAGCATGTGAAATAGGTTAAGGGCAAGGATGGAATCAGGTGACACATGACTGAGATTTCCCTCGAGGTTGACAGGCAGCCCATTAGTCATGCTCTGGCACGGACCTGGGCTTCCATCGATGCACACATGCCAGCCTTGTTCATAAGAGCATCCTCCGTGTTTTCCCTGAGCGACTGCTGGGTTCCAGATGTGCGATCTACGTGGCAACCCCCAGTCACAGCTCTCAGGAAAAGAAAGGATTGTTTTTGCACTTCTGATTCCCAGGGCACGCTTGCTGACGACTTGGTTTTTTAGGGGATCTTTTCTAGAATGCCACTGGAGATCACCAAACTTAACATTTTTTTAATGGTTTTATTGGCAGGTCATCCACAGATCCAGTTGGTGATGTTTAGAATTCGCCTTTTACTTTGCTCAGATAACTAGTGTACTTTTTGCCCGGCTTCAAGTTCTTCGGACATGTTTTCATTTGTAACTTCTGGAAAATGTGTGACAGTTATTCTACCATTATACTTGTTAAGTTTTCCATCCCTCGCTTAATAAGATTCCCTTCCCGTCTTCAGGACATACTCTCCTGTGTCTACTAGGTGGCAGGCGTTGTCCTTGGCCCTAGGGGCACTTTGACGAGCAAGACAGAGGTGTGCGTGGTTTCTGCATCTTAGTAACCCAGGCAGAAAACTAGGATTTGGAGGGACTGGGGGAAACAGTGGAGGTAGGAATAGCGTTCATGATTTTTTCAACCCTGATTATAAAGAGCACGAGGTTATCAGCTCAATCCGAAGCCCTTGGGTAACGCGAAATAGTTACCATACCTAGCTACTAGCCAAAAGGTTGAAATCCAAGCCCCCAGAAGAAGCGTTTAAGAATCAGCCATTGAAAGCATGGTCGGGCACAGTTGGTCTCTGATACATGTGGAGTTGCCAAGAGGTGGGACTGATGCGGTGGCGGTTGGGGGTTGGCGATCAACCTGTCTTAAGAAAGTAAATAGGAGGAAAAGGTAGCTCACAGAGAACCTTCCCAGGAGCCATTGCTGCATGAGGAGGTTGAAGGATCCTTTCATGCTGTGCAAGGCATCTGTGCGGCAGCAGCACCTTCTGTGTGCTATGCCTTGTGTGCTTTAGACACCGGGCTTTAAAGATGAACACCTGGAGCTGACAGGTGTACTGGGACACGCATGGAAACAAACAGCTCATTGCAGTGCAATGTGGTAAGTGCTTGTTAAAGTATGGGTGGGATGAGCAAGTAGGAAAGAGGAGCACCTCATCTCCTTTAGAGGAAGTAAAGGTCCAAGGCTGCACGGAGACCTGACGGAACAGGTAGTAGTTAACAGACCAAAAGGGAAAGAAAACAGTCATCCTGGAGGAGAGACCAGCAAGTAGAGAAACTGGGCATTTCGGGAGCCTTGCTGCACCTCCAGGAAGTGGCAAGCACATCTGTTGGCTCGGGCAGAGTAGGAACTAACGAGGAGCCACCCTTGGGTCACAGTGTTTAAGCACTTAGCTACTATCAGAAAGGTCATTGGCTCCAACCCACTAGCCACTCAGCAGTGAGGGAAGACCCTTTCCCGGCAGGCTGCTCTAGTAAAGGCTGTGGTTGGGCGCCATGGAGTCTCTTCTGATACATATTGATTGTACAGGACAGGGTCGAACTACACTCCCCACCCCCACCGGGAAGTCAACACTTCACCAGGCCTGGTGATCGGGTTCCAAAAGTTGGCAGCCTTGAGGACGCTAGGGAGCAATTCTACTCTCTACGGGGACAGGAACTAGCACTGTCATTCATAGCAGACATCTGCATTTCGAACAAGTTCCCAGGTGATGGTAATGTTACTAGTTTGGGACCATCTGTCACAGATGTAGTGCAAGGACTAAATGTGTTCATGTGCATAAGCACTTTGAACTGTGTGGCACATAGCCCTTACAGAGTTTGTCATCTAACATCATCGCATATGTTTGAGTTCAGCCGTATTATGAGCCATAATATCTTTACCTTCTTAACTCACTCACACATGCACAATTTGTGGTGTCCATAAGCAAGAATTCAGCTAAATATCAGACATAGCAAATCTGTGGGTAATTAAACCAAAACCAAACTAAACCTGCCGCCTATGAGTGATTCTGACTCAGAGACACTGTGGGGTTTCTGAGGCATAACATCTTTACA